TGTGCTATGGATCTAAACACCTTCAGATGACTTAAGATAGGCTTGACACCAGACCAACATTCTTCTGATATGATTCCTTCTAGCTTATTAGTCGGACATTTTTTCAAGACATATGTTGTAGCCGACACAACCTCACCCCATAACTCATTTGGTAAGTGTTTGCCCCTTAACATACTTCTTACCATATTCATAATGGCTATGTTCTTCCTTTCAGCAGCACCATTTTGTTGAGGAGTGGTAGCACCACCTCATGCACAATTCCTTCTCTTTCACATAGTGTTTCAAAATCTTTCGACACATTTTCTCCACCACCATATGTCCTCATAATCTTGATGTTATGACCACTTTGTCTTTCCACCATGGTTTTGAACTTGGTGAAGACATCAATCACATCACTTTTTTCCTTGATAAAGTATGTCCACAACTATATGTTGTAATCATATATAAATGTAAAAGAATACTTATTACCTTCAATCAAATCTACCTGAAGAGGACCATACACATTTGAGTAAATCACTTTAAACGTGGCTTTTGACTTGCTTCATGTATCCTTGTTGAATTTGTTCTTGTGTTGCTTTACCTGAACATATTCTCCATACACTTCACTTGGAATATGTATTTTTGGTAATCCTGAAACCATGTTCTTTCTATTCAGGTTGCTAATGTCATTGAACTTCAGATGTTCAAGTCTATAATGTCATAGTCATTCATCTTTGCTAGTTGCAGTTTCCGGACAACTGTATTCCAACACATCAAGTTCAATCCTGAAGGTTCTATTATGAGACATAAGAGCCTTCGAGATTAACTTGTCACTTGAGTCTAGTACTTTTATCATCTTGCCTTTGATCACCACCTTGTAATTCTTCTCGATCAATTACTCTATGTTGGAGCAAATTGATTTTCATGCCTGGTATGTACAGTACATTGGAAATAACTGACCTTTTACATTTTTTCTCATTATCAGAATATCACCAATACCTTTAATAGCTAGGGTATTGTCGTTTTAAAAATTTATCTTGTTCTTCATCGATGGAATTATGTTGACAAACCAATCTTTCCTTCCAGTCATGTGTGATGAGCATCCTGAGTCCGAGTACCATTGATCCTTAAATATCTCTTCATCTTTTTGTTGTAACCGTTAGTAGACTCTCTTATTCTTCGTGTCTTGTAAGGTTTGTATAAGTTTCTTGATTATTTATTTTGTTTTATGGGCAATCACTAGCATAATGACCATGTTTCTAACAATTGAAACACTGAATATGACTTTTATTAGGTTTCCTACCACCACCTCTTCCTATACTTATAACACCACCTATATGAATGCTTTGGTTTGTGGGTTATCGACGGTTCGACAAATTTACTTCTTATTGGTGACTTCTATCGATCGAATTTTTGTAGCCTCATCTACCTTTGCTTTCATTCCATTTTCCTTTGCCTTTCTTATCTTTATATGATTGTGTCTTCATAGCCACACCACTCTTTGTCTTTCTTTCAGATCTTTCAGTCATTCTTTATTCATGAGATTAAAGTGTCCCTTAAAGCTCTTCTTTTGTCATTCTTGACAAATCCTCTGATTCTGCTATGGCTACTACCACATGATTGAACTTTGGAAGTAATGATCTCAAGATCTTTGTAGCTATTGATCTTAATGTCAATACATCTCCACACATCTTGATTTGATTTACCAGTCCTGTTACTCTGGTGAAGAAATCGATAATACTTTTGTTTTATTCCATCTGAAGCAATTCATACATTCTTTTGTAAGTTTGTAACCTCACCTCTTTCACCTTTCCAACACCTACAAAATATTTTTCCAGAATGTCCCATGTTGCCTTTAATGAGTCTACATCACCAACTTTCCCAAAGTTGTTTGGATCAACGCATTGATGAATTATAAAGAGAGATTTATAATCTTTCTTTTTCAAATATTTATGTGCATCCTTTTGTTCATCTATGGAATTCTTACCAATTGGTGTTACCCCATTCTTCACAATATCCCAAATATCTTGATAGCAGAAGACAACATTCATCCACTTACACTAATTCTCATAATTATAGCCATTCAAGATGGGAATATTTGATGGAAAATGCTCATTAGGATGAGAACTCATTGTTCTATGCTTCCCAAGAATTGAAACCAGTGCTTTAGATAACAGATGTTGGAATTAAACCTCAATCTTGAAGATAATTTGAATCAATCTTGATGAACAAGAATCTAATTGGTCGCGCCTCTCATTATTCACTCTTCACTTGAGTGATTCAACCACACTTTGGTTGCAAGATGATTCTGCTGCATAAAGATTTTAAAGGATGAGAAGGAGTTTGAGAAGAAAAGAGAAAGGGAGAGTGAGTTAGGGTTTTGGGAGAAGATGATTTTTTTTATTGAATTCTACCTGAATTGCTACTATTACAAATAAGGATGTCTTCCTATTTATAGATGAGATTTCTTGTACACCAATAAATTTCTCTAACTAACTATATTTGATTTAGTACAATATTCATTTTGACTACCTATCAAATGCCCACAAGTTCGACTCCTAAATAAAGTTGACTCTGTTGGACTCTGTCGAAGTAAACTTCTTTGACAACTTCACACAGACTTCAACATTGTCGAATACATTCTTATTTAACATAAAGAATTACATATTTAACAATCTCTATACTTAAAATGTCATTACCCATCAACAAAACACATCATTTCACTACAATCTTTAAAAAGTTGTTATAAGGATCTGTACACTCGAATTCATACTTGCTCTTCCACCAAAATGAATAAGTAGCTTTAGTCTTAATCCACTTTTAAATCACGAGAGGAGCTTAAAACATTACGAAATTATATTATACATACAATTCATTTAAATTATATTGTTCAACAAATTTATTTTAGTACAATGTAATTATATTGGACAATGCATTGTTTTTTAGTGAAAAAAATGAAAGAAATTGTTTTTTAGTAGAAAAAGTAAAAATAAGATCAAAATAATTTGAATTTAAAATAGAGAGACTAATATGATAAATCAAATAAAATAAGAGATCAAAATCATGATAAAATCTTATAAATAATATTTATATTTAAAATAATTTTAGCTTTTTTTAGTATTTAATTTTTTCAACGTGATTATCTAAATCTTGAATTCAATTAAAATATATACAATTTTTTATCAATAAATAGTTTATAAAGTAGAACCTGGTGATAAATATGTTTAGCAAGCCTAATGACTTTCCATTATAGAAAGTGTTGGCTAAGGCGTGAGAATAATTTCAAAAAAATATTTTAAGGAAGCTTAGGATGACATAAGGGTTCATTTTTTACTAGATTGTTGGATTTCCGACAAAGAAACCTCTCTTCTTCAAGTTGGGTCATCCTGATATAATTATAGATATCACTCACACGGTTAAAGACATGATTAATGGTTTATGGAAGTGGAATTTAGAGTTGCTTCAGAATTTGTTCAATTTCGAGCTAGTCAATTGTAGTATGGTTATCCTTCATCCTCTCTCTGAAAATGGTGTGAATAGGATATGATATTATAAAGACAACGAATTTTTTGTAGGTAACACCTATAAATATCTTTCTTTCCCTTCGGATGTGGAAACATATATGAACTGGAATATCATTTGAAAATGAAAAGGTCCCCATCAGATTCAAACTTTCATGTGGCTCATGATTCATTAGAGATTCTTAACAAACTCTCAGCGTCATAAGTGGAACTTAACAATATATAAGGATTGCAACAGGTGTACGAGTAAAGAAGATAACTCAATTCATGTGCTTTGAGATTGCTTCTATGCAACACATGTATGGATTGTCCCCTTGAATAAAATGACTCACTTTTACTCTTTGTCTTGCAAGGATTGGATGACTTACAATCTTAAAGAAAATATTATGGGTTCACACAAAGATCAGTAAAGGTTAATATTTATGATCTTGTGTTGGTATTTATGGAAAGGGAGGAACAAAGCTCTCTTTGAAGAAGATTTTCAGCGATTTGACAACCCGACTGGACCAATCATGTACCTTGTAAAGAAAATTGTGACAAATGGGTGTGAGAAGGGAAATATTAGGTTACCAGAGCCAGAGATCAAGCATATCCAATGAAATTGGCCAGAGGAAAATTGGATCAAGCTCAATTGTGATGGTTCATGCAAAAAGTCTACTTCCAAAACAAGATGTGGATGCTTATTTAGGGACTCAGACGTAAGTTGGGTTAGAGGATATGCACAGAAAATGGATCTGTGTGACGCTATTACTGCAAAGATGTAGGTGATATTACATGAGATTGAGATGGCTTGGCAAGAGAGAATTAAAATATTGATAGTCGAGAATGACTATAAAATCTTAATAGATATGATTAACTAGGAGACTATGACAAAAAAAACCTCCCATCTTTAGTTCATATAATTAGAATGATGATTCAAAGTAATTGACAAATCAAGTTCAACCATATTTTACAAGAAGGAAATCAAAGAACAAATTTGATAACTAACTATAATCTTATATTGAACAATAATAAGCTTTTTATTCTTCCGAATCTCATGTCAAAAGAATTAAATACCATTTTAATTGACGATAAGAATGTTAGAATAACTTTTTAATCTTTCTTTTTTTTCTTTGGACTATTCTCTTTTGTAAAAGAAAAGAAAAGAAAAAAACGCATCATTATAAATACTAAAGATTGCATTAATATAATAACTTTTTGCCCGTTGAATTAAAAGTAATAGTATAAACTTTAAAATAAATATTTACATAGCATAATTTAATTGTCTATGCTTAAAAAATTATATAATTTAAATCAATAAAAATAAAAATAAAATAAAAGATAACCGAAAAAATAGTTACGAAAGAAAAATATATTGCATTGGCGGTGAAGAAACTACTAGAGAAATCAGACGTATCGAGCAAGTTTTCAATTCATTCTTAACCACCCTATTTCCTCAAATCCAACTTTATTTCAATTTTCACAGAAACCTGTATTCCAATCCAACGTTTTTTAAGCATTATGGTAAACCCTTCACCCTCACTCAATCTTCCGATTGAATTTCAAATTTTCAATTCAAAAAACCTGATTTTCAATGTCTTTTTCCCATAAGATTGTGCAAGTTACATAAGCTGTTTATTGTGTCTAGATTATTTTCGCTTTACAACTTTTGATTTGGGCTTTGAGTTGTTTGTAATTAGGGTTGGGGTTTTAGATTGGTGTTCAAATCAGAATCTGCATTTGGCACCCTCGTAGTTATGTTATGCATAATTTGGATTTTAGGTTTTTTCTGTTCAAATCAGAATCATAATTTGGCATCTTTTTATGATAGGTTCAGCTGGTTCAAATCAGAATCATAATTTGGCACCCTTTTTATTTATTTTCAATACTTATTGATTTGCTATGGTTGAATCAATTGAACTATGATTCCGAAGGTTTCAGTTATTTAAAGTTTGTTGATTTTCAAATGTTTATTTTTGTGGAACTGAAGTTGAAATTTTGAACAGGAAACACCATTTATGACAGGGGTGGTTGTGGCTGCTGCAGCTTATGCAGGTAGATATGGTATTCAGGCTTGGCAAGCATTCAAGGCTAGACCGGCTGGGATGCGGAAATTTTATGAAGGCGGTTTCCATGCTGCCATGAATAGGAGGGAAGCAGCTCTCATCCTTGGTGTTAGGTATTCACATTTTTGTTTGTTCTGATTGGATGAATTCATCGCGGTTATAACTCACTAGGAAGTAGGAAAGAATGCTGAAAATATTAACTTTTGTTTAATAGGCGTTGTTATTTATTAGTGGTTGTCACCTTTCCAATTCATTTTGGACGTGAATTCCATAAATTAATTTGTGATTTCACATCATTTGAAAGAATTTGGCTTTTCTTTAGTGGTTTTCCACTATCTCCAATAGAAAACATTGGTATAATCACAGCTATTGTAGAATGTCGAATACAAGCAATGCATGCAGCTTGCAAGCACGTGTATCACATGTCTTTTGATTGATTGGTTGGTTAAGCTGTGTCTGTATCTGATATTGTCAATCTCATTTATGATTTGAACCCTTTGGATCCATTCAGAGTGCTGGCAAATCATGAAAGTAAATAAGAATGGAACGATTATGTTGCTATTCCACCCTCTTTTGTTTGCTTGAAATGTGAACCATGTAATTGGACTTTGAAGTTACTTTGTTTTTGTTGTAAGTTGTGAATTGAAACTTGCAATTTGTTAATAAGACTTATGTTGTCAATAGCATACTATAGCAGAATAGCGTAGCAATGTAGGGTTTAGCGTGACATTTTTGCCCACAAGCTTCCGCCAGCAATAGCAGTTGTAGAGGCTGCTATTTGCGGTGAAATTGTGGCCCCAAACCGCTATCACATCCCCAATTATGATTTCGGAGATCAATTCATCAAATTCTTTTTTTAAACTGCTTTTTTTCTGAGTATCAATTTCAATCTGAACCCTTTTAAGAGTAATGTTCTCTTATGTTTTTTATTTTTCTGTTTTTGAATGTTTATGTTTATTTCATAGACTGGTTTTTGTCTTTGCAATAGTGGCTGTATACCGCTATAATATTTTAGGCGGTTAGTGCTACTCAATACTATATGAGATAAACAACATAGACCAGGACCTATCCTGAATCCTGATCCAATTCTTAGAGCAATTGAAAAGATGGGCAAAATTCAGGAATATGAGCTGAATTTTTGAACAAATAGATGACAGTTTCATTAACTTTACAAAGAGATTGTGAACAAATAAATGACAATTTCATTAACTTCATTCAGATTTCAGAGTGCTAATTAGTCCTACCTTAAATGGCGTTATGAGCTGAAATGTGTTATTATGTCTACATTTTCCCTCATATATCTTTCAATGGTTGATTATTATTGAATTTTGTTTCTAGTCATTGACAAATTATTTTCCATAAACTTTTTCATGTTTTTTGAGCTGATTTGATTTTGAATTGTGGCTATGGTAGGACGACCACTCCAACTGATAAGATTAAAGAAGCACATAGGAGAGTGATGATTGCAAATCATCCAGATGCTGGTGGTAGCCATTACCTAGCTTCCAAAATCAATGAAGCAAAAGACATGATGCTTGGAAAAACCAAAGGTAATGGGAGTGCATTTTGATGTAGTATAACCTTTCTGCGCATCGATTCTATGCTTCAGAATCAGTTTTGTTCGCGTCAAAAGTGAAACCAAATACACAATATCTTCAAAAGAAATCATACTACACCCTATTATGAGTCTTGTTGTAACTAATATCATTAAAGTCGAGTTTAGAAGGCATTAATAGAAGTTATTTTATTTGAAATTTCGACTTTTTAAGGGGTTCTTTTGTTTCCTCTCTTGTTTAAGTTTATACAGCTTTACCATGATTATTGGATCTGCCATGTAACGTGACTTTGAATGTAATTGATTCCATATATCAGCCACAAATTCATATATGAATTATTTGTAGTATTTAGTATGAAGGGTATATGCTATATATGAATTATTTGTAGTATTTAGTATGAAGGGTATATGCTAGAACGTCTACCATTTTGCACGCAAACTTCTGACTTACATATAAATTAATCCTTTTGTTTCAAAATAAGTATCTGCTTAAATTTTATTGATGCTTCCGTTATAGACTAAGCAAGTGCCTTTATGCAAAAAACTTAAAACACATATTTTACTCTTAACTTAAGCAGTGTAAATGAAAATTCTAAACCAATACAAAATAGAGTCCATCGAAAGGAAGAGCACCAGACGAAAATACTAAAATATCTTTTAGATTTCAGAGATATATTTCCGAACGTATCATGCAACAACGTTACGTCTTATCAACTGAGTGACATTCTAGATGAATGTTAAAAAAAAAATTCGAAGATACATTTCTAGATATTTTCAACAAACGTAATGAATTAATAAGTCCATTGGTTATTTCGGAGATGCACCTCCGGAAGTTTGGGGCGGGTTTTTTACATTTGATGTCAATTTTGCATGTCAGATACTTCAGAAGATACATTTTTGAAATAATTTGATAAAATTCAGACCTGCATGATCATATCCCTATACTTATTTTTCACTCAAAACCCTCATAAAAAACTCTTTCATTCTTAATCCATATTTTTCACTCCAAATTTTCAACCTTATGTTTTATCACATCAAAGAGAGCAGAAGAAGTTGGAATTTCAAGTAAAGATCATTTATTTCAAGTCTCATTACTGACGTTAAGCTTGTTTTTGTTTCGAAAACGAGTGTTATTTTCGGAGATACATTTTCGAAACAAGTATGAACTTACTCAAAGATGCATCTCCGATATCTGTCTGTGTTCATTTTTTCAGTTCTGTTTTCAGCATTAGCGATTATTTACTGTTTTGTGATAATTGTTTTTATTATATATGACACACTCCGATGTTTTCCTCAAACAAGTTGTGTCTCTCACTATTAAAGGTGTTACTATGAGCGTGGTAGATGTTGACAAGCAATTTAAAAATGAGCAAGAGTTTGAACTCGTGATCACATGTTTCAATGGATTTGTATCGAGACATCAAAATTAGAATTTGGTGTGATTATCGAAAGGTCCGATAATAGTTCGGATAGAAGATGTGCTTTTGTGACAATGACGTGCGAAAAAGCGTGAAATATAGACCTCATATCCGAAATTTCAAACAAGGTTTAATAAAATATGAGTGTTCCTTTAAGATGTGTGGTTATATGTTGGCAAACAAAAAATGTCATATATGGTTTGCATAACCATTATGAAAAGTTAGTCGGTCATCCAATTGTGTGTCGGCTTATGCTGGAAGAGAAGGAATGCGTTACTGACATGACATTGAATTTGGTTCAATCGAAAAATATTGTAACATTGAAACAAAAAAGACCCGAAAATATCTCAAATATCAAGTGTATAATATTCGGTACCAAACTAAAATGACGTTGATGGAGGAGTGGTGAAGCTTGGAGATGTTCTTCTCAATCTGAGTCATACCTCGACGAAGGGACATGAATCATATACTCTTAACCAAGTATGGTCCTCTGCGGCACATAGCGCAATACAAATATGGAGGCATGATTGTGTCTCACCAGACAAGGATAAAACGCAGGTAAAACACATGCGATCAAAATGCTAGATACAACAAGGTGTATACAATAAAAAAATAAAAAACTACATATAACATTATACATGCATGTACTCGGTAACTTAATACGTTATAAAACAACTAAAAAAGTTAGCACAGAAGGTAAGAATCTCCAGGGAAAAAGATTCCAATTAGTATAAGACACTTCAGTGGACATCCTTTTTCAAGAGATTCATATCAAGATGTTCTTGATATTGGAAACCTAATGCAGTTCATTAACCTCAAAAAGTTTCTTTTATTTCCTCCATGCTTTCCTCTTATCCTGCCAGTTTTTCTACAACTCTCCAAATGCCAAAGGACACAACTTCTGCCTCATGTTCACCTCGATAAACATCTTATTCAATTCTTCTAAGTTGATCCTCAAGATCTTGCCCAACTAATTTTGGCGGGGAACCATGGAGGTTCTTTTCTTCACGCATGATGGACTCGCACTCTACGTGACCCTGCATCTTCAAATGTTCTTTCTCAAGACCCTCTTTCTTCGCCCCAACAAGATCACATTTAGTCTTTAACGAATGTACCTCCCAGGGAAGGATGGAAGACAATATAAACTTTTCAGGATCAGAAGATAACTGGTTAAGAAGTAGCACTTCCCCCATCTCACATATGGTTATCTCCTTTACCAGATCAAGTCGAGAAGAACCAGAAAGTTGGCCAATAAAAGCATAATCCACGGTAGGAACGATGTCGTTCACTCCCCAAGAGTGTGAAAAACCAGTACCAGTCAATAGAGAGAGCAAACAAAGATGAACGCTTTTTGACCCAACAATATCAGTCATAGAATTCACTTTCACTCACTTCACCCTCTTTACCCGACCTTCGTTGGGGGTAGCTACAATGATTATGACATGTTTCTTCTTAGGCTGATCGTTAGAAGGGGCTGGTGCAATAAGAGTACCCCCGAACACTAACGAGTCAGATTCTTTATCTGAAAAGAACGAGGGAGAGTAAATAAGTGAAGACTAAACAGGCCAACATGTCCAAAAAAGAAAGAAATAAACAACTTACCAAATACCTTTTTTCATCCCTCCACGGAATCAGCATTTGTCGGTCCTTGCAAGGTATCAGATCATTGAAAAATGAAACCATAACCGCCTTCATATCTCTATCAACCTCATTAAGAGATTCATAAAACACCCAATAACTCTTGGCACACTCGAAGAAATGTTTCTGAGACTAAAATTGTTGCCCCTTCAAATTTTTATATGCGACACTTTCTAAATTTTTTTTAGAGTTATTCAACTCTTATATTCATTATTTTTGGATCTTAAAAAAGATAGAATAAAAGAAAGTGGTGCATATAAAAATTTGAGCATGACATGTTATAAAATTTTTATAATACTATGACAATACCAAAAAAATGGAAATGATATGTGTATAATTTTTTCATAACACTATGTGAGTTTAAAAAAATTGGGTAACTAAAATCTTGGGTCGTCGCACTCTTGCCCTTAACCCAAGGTCGACTTTATAATATATTCGATAAATAATTGTAATATAAATATTACCTCTATTTGATAAAAAGTGTCTCATTTATACTTTTTTTTTGTCTTAAAATAATTGTCCATTTACATTTTCAATGTACTATTTATTGTTATTTTTTCACTACTATGCTCCTATCCATTAAATTTCACTTGATTCAACTAATATATTAACTCCATTTAATAAGAGTATTCTAGTAAATGATATTAGTTTTTCACTAAAACCAACACATCTAATAATTTTCTTAAGAACTACATTTAATAAGAGTATTCTAGTAAATAATATTAGTTTTTCACTAAAACCAACACATCTAATAATTTTCTTAAGAACTGCGCATTGTTCACATTTTTTATTAAACTGGGGGAATATAAAGATAAAGATAATTATGGTAAAATAGATCAGATTAAATGTAAATATGATTATTATAGTAGTCACTCCACTTCTGTAAATATGATTGATTCAAAAATATTAAAATATATTTTAAATGTATACCATGAGCTTTATATTTAAATTTAATATAGTAAATATTATACTATAAATATTTTAACTATATCTAGATTAAATTAAAATATTTATCATGGTTCAGTAATGGGTTCAACTATTATTAGCAAATATAATTCTATATCCCACATTCTAAAGACAAATAATTATCATGGAGCACCCTATACATGACGTTCTATTACCATGGAGCATTATATACAATTTCAGTTTTTTATCTCACATTCATTTTAATTATGATGATGTATATATATCTGGATGAAAATGACCGTGGTCGCCAATCATGACCCTTTATTTCTAATAAGACATCATACTTTAATTTATGTCTTGGCACCCTCCTCCAAAGAATGTGATAAATGTCAATATAGATGATAGTTTCATTGATAATCTAGAACCATCTGACTTTGACGGTCTTTTGAGGAACTCTTATGAAGGTTGAATTACAAGTTTTGCAAGTAGTTATCATTTCACCTCTAATATTACAGTTTAGTTGACACTTTGGTTATGTAGGTCCATGAAAACAAAAAAGTGTATCTGAGTGTGACAAAGCGCGTGAACATCAAGGAGCGCAACATTAATGGCTCATCCGTTTCAAACGTATTTTCCTGTTCCCTGTCACCCACTCTTCCCTCCCTCCCATTCACAAAAACGATGGACAATTTCACAAACACATACAGTAGGAAACATAGTAACACTCTCAGAATAAGAGAGAGAAAGACTCAATAACCAAGCGCCATAGAAACTTCATCTACCTCAACGACACTCTACTTTCCCTCACCTTTCTCCTCCATATAAAAAACAACCTCTTCCTTCTTCTTCCTCCTTCATATAATTTCACTCAAATTTCCACCGAGGTATAATAATAATAATAATAATAGTTTAACATATATATATATATATAATACAATTAAAATAGTTATAATTATTCCGACTCAAGTTCTTCTGGTGTTGTTTCTGTTAGTACATCTTTAAAATTATGATTGTCAATTGATTCTAATGACTCATGTTTTCTTGAATCAATGA